TCTACCAGACTCCATGGTGTCATACCCCAGAAGAATGTAATCTTAACATTTACCATACTTAGAATATCAAATGACATGAATGGTAATATTTACACAGATTTTGGTATAACAGTTCTTAATCTTTATAAAAAAAAATGTGAACTTACCAGAGAATAGCTCTCTGGTAAGTTCACAAAGAATGGCATCAATAATACTTTTGCAATATTCTTTAGATTTCCTTTAATTATTAATATGGAGAAATTGTACAAGTGTGCATCTGCTTGTTCATCGCTTCATTTAGCTATGATATAAATATTATATATACTACTAATTTTCATAAACTCAATGTGGAGATCATGCTACTGAAAGCTACCCCAGTTCCTAACTGTTGAAACTTCCTGTCATTAACAATATACCACAGTGCCTGTACAAACTCAAATCTGGTAAAATGACAGAACTTTTAAAACATAAAAACTACCATTAAACTTTATTCTTAGGAAGAATAATGATTCAGTGAGTACAAAAAAGGATTTTGGTACTGTGATAATGACTGAGTAAATACTTACACTTGTCACGTTACATTTGTATTGTGACATGTTATGATTACATATAAGACTATTTATATTAATAACAAACCCTACAATGCTTAATCCTTCAGAACCTCAGAGTGCACTACGTTTTTAATACTTGTGAAACCAAAAGTTTCCAGATCTGAGATCTGGCTGTGATACAAATTAAGGTTATCACACATCTGAAAAAGGAATCACTCATACCCTTGACTATTTCCAGATCATCCAGAGGTATCCGCATCAGCAACTTGTATTTGTTCGCTTCCAATGTACTAGCAACACTACCAGGACAGCTCCTGAAATAAAAGTTTGTAAATCAGTGTCAACAATTGGTTATACAGACAGAATCCGAATTGGGGTGAAACAGAAGGGCATTTATGGTCAATCAGCATTTGTCTAGTTCAACAGAGAATAATCACAAGATTTTTGGAGTAGTTGGCTTTTGAAACTGAATAGGAACAATAGCAGTGGCAGAGCATGACATTTAGAAGTGTTAACCAAATCCAAAGATAGGGGAAATCTATGTTCTGTGACCATACAATCACTGAAGCATGTTAATATTCCTCATTTGGATAACATGATACCTTGGCATGTCTTATATTTCTTCTAATTGCATCTACAATCACAAATGGGTAGTGTAAGCCTGAAGAAACTGGCTAATAACACCTGTTCTGAGCTGGTTGGAGGTGGAACATTATGCACTATCTGACTGCTTCTCTTGCCAGTACATACAATAGAAGTAAACTAAGGAAGTAACACTTTTCATTTCAATTTTCAAAGTGATACCTAGGCTAGATATTTGGACTGAAGAGGAAAAAAGTGACGGGAGGTTGGAGAAAGCTGCATAATGAGGAACTTCATTACTTGTCCTCATTCCCAAGTACAATTAGAATGACAAAATTAAGGAGGATGAGATGTGCAGGGCATGTAACACATATAGGAGGGGAGTGTATACAGGTTTTTGATTGGAAAGCCAGGAGGAAAGTGATCACTAGGAAAACCTAGATGTAGGTGGGAAAACAATATTTAAATGGATCTTAGAGAGATAGAATGGGGTGGTATGGAATGGACTAATCTGGTTCAGAATAGGGGCAGTGGAGGGCTTTTCTGAATACAGTAAAATGTTGGGAAATTCTTGAGTGGATGAACAACTGGCAGCCCCAAGAGGGGCTCAGATATATTAAGTGAGTGAGTACATAATAGTAACAGAGAAGAAATAATGCCAGAGAAAATTGCAAAAAGTCCCTATAAACTAATCCAGTTTTACTTATTTCCTGATGGCTACATACATACGTGGAAGGTTTCCGAATAGTCCCACTCCTTCGTTTTATGCTTGTGATGACAAGTAAGTCAGAGAACAAGAAAAGTGCCCGCTCCTTACACGTGCCCTGACCAGACACCATGGTAACAAGGTCATGTCTAATAAAGGTGCGTTCAGCTGCTACCAGGTTGATTAATCCTTCAATTAATGCTTCCAGCTCCTTCAGGGTTTCCCGTTCAGTGCAGTTGATCTTCATTGCAAGATCATGCACTTCCTTTTGTGCTTCCTGAAGCAACTGGTGATCAGGATGTGCGGGATCAGTATGTTTCAGCAGTGTCTGTAACAGTATACATAAATGTTGGTACCGAGTCATCTCACTGAAGGTCAGTTCCAGTTCAGCACCCAACACTACATTTATACAGGCACAGCATCAACTATTAGACAATACTATATTCTGTCACTTTTCTCACAAAACTTGGGTGAAAACCAATTCACATATTGCTATGTAAGAAGTGGACCAGCTGTAACTGTCAGCATATTGGCTGGTCACAGTTGGTCACACATTATAGATCGAAGCTGACAAGTGTTATCAAGTGACCTGAGAAATCTGGCACAGGCTGAGCTAGCTCTTCATCTTTGTTTTCATCCTTATCTTTGTCCTCTATGTCAGCGTTGTACACTGTATATAATTCTCCTACCTTGTTTATGAACCACCTGTTTAGTATCTTAATACTGTACATCCTGTTGTGTGTCATAAACAAGATATATACAGTATGGAATATACCGCCTACACAACAACAGTCAGTATTCAAAACAAAGAAGACACTACTGCATCAACATTTGCTTTTATTATGTTTATTAGAGACGCAACATGTTTTCATCTTTCACGGGTCATCTTCAGGCATACAAAGCACCAGTCTAAGCTGTTAAGTTGTAATCAATCATTTTATTTATCGAATAAGGATCCTTATTGTGTCTTTGAATTAAATTAAAATGTAAATATATAACAAATCTTGGGCAAGAATTAAAGCTAAACCCCTTAGATGAAAAATGTACTTAAAATTACAGGAATAAACCTGTTTAGTACTTTATAAACCACTCAATTTCCTTGGACACATGATAAAATGTGACAGTAACGCACTGCACTGAACTGCTTAGAACAGAAACATTTCATACACTGCCAAGTAACACACGAGGGCATAGGCTAAAGTCTACTTCCAACCCCTTACTGTGATTGGTTGTTATATTTCCCTGTGAAGGTCAAATTCCATAAGGAAAGAAAGGATTATAAATGTCCAATATGTACAATAAAAATTAAAATAAGTACATATATAATTATATAATTACCATCAAGAGTATCAAGTTCTTACTGATTAAATAATCCTACATCCAAACACGTTTCAGCTGTAACTGGACATATTCAGGTGCAACCGATACTAAAGGAAAAATTACACAATTTACACAAAATACCTTAAAATATCTGAGTCATCTGAATTCAGTTTAATTGTAAATCCTTAAAATATTTCAATCACAGTCAGCCACAAATGGAGGTATATAGTTTTTACATTGTCTTGTCAACAAAATGCCAAAAATTGTGTTATGTACAACAGGCTCATGATCATATTTAAAATGCCTACTTGATAATGTCTTGCACTATCTCTGTAGTGGTTTATATGAATGGGAATATTGAACGTTTCATCCTGCATGACAAACACACAGTAGCCAGCATGTCACAGGCTGCAGTAACGAGAAGAATGCTGTAGTTTTTGCAATAAAATATTCAATTCAGCAGATAACTCAAACCTGAATAAGGAGTTCATAGCGTGGTATCCTCTGGACTGGCATGATGAGCAGACAGTCCAGTGCAAGTTTCCCTTTGTGCTCTCTTGCCATTGCCTGAAACACACAATAACATGACATTAACACATGTATAACCTCTCTTACAGTTCTTCAATAATATGTGTGTATACCGCACAGAGTTATCTCTTTGTTTCCAAATTTGGATTATGTACTCAGCAGGAATAATTTAGAAATATCTACCTGACATTATTGTAATGTGTTTGGAGTAGGTACTTCCATGGTAGCGCAATAACAGTGAGCCGTTGCATAGAGAATGCCGAAGCAACGAACGTGTCTCCCCGGAGATGAACTACAGAGAGTCTGTTGCACCCATTACATGACAACATGACTGTCGAAATCGTAGCAATGAACTGTCATTGAGTAACAACAGATGAGACGAGACACATTACCGGTGTAATCTACAAAGAGCATACCCAAAGCAACAGATTGCCGAACACGTGAGATCGAACCTTAGCAAGGGGTATCCTCTATTGAGTCTGCATGAGCCCTATATAAAGGGCCTGGCCCTCGGACGGAAGATTAGAGTATTGGAGTATTGAGAAGAGACAGTCTTGGGATAGCCGCCGCTGAAGACAGTCAAGATCCAACCACGGCCAAGGATAGTTGAGACGTCGCATTGAAGTAATGGGCCAGAAGTCAAGTGATACTGCAAGTGGTAATAATTGTAAGGTGTGTAAGTGTGAGTGTCCAATAAAGATTCGTTAAATCCGAGACCCATGTGAAGTTATTTGTCGCATGACATTATATTACATCATGTGTCTCAAAAAATAAAATTTTCACACTAGTGAAGCCAATATCACACACTGCTAGAGGGAACAACACACAAGCAAGGGGCATATTAGGCCACGCCATAGCTCAAGCGGTTAGTCGCTGGCTTCCCACCGCGGCAGCCCCGGTTCGATCCCGGGTCTGGTCAAGTGGGATCTGTGGTGGACAAAGTGGCGCTGAGACAGGTTTTCTCCATGTACTTCAGTTTCCCCTGCCAATCTTCATTCCACCAATTGCTCCACAATCACCCTCACCTATCATCTGGGGTTGGTACAATAGGCCAGAAGTGGCCGCAGTACAAGGGACTTAGTCCCACCCCACTAGCAAAAAAAAAAAAAAAAAGTGGCATATTACAGACTGCAGACACAGCAAAACAACGGGCTAACAAACAGAAAAACAAGCTGCAGAAACGAACCTTCTGGAATAATCACATAGCTCCAAACAAGTGGATGATGCCCCTTATGAGGTGGAATAGGATTTTACAAAAAAAAAAATTGTATACAAAATTTGAATGGATTTTAATTAATTATTTATGTTACTTTTAATTGAACGGCAACACTCCGTTTTAGTGCACATCAGAGCAGTGTAACAGTTTGGATGCATTAAAGACACCTGAAGATGGCCATCTATGGCCGAAACATATTGTGTTCAGTGTTAAATGGTGAATAAACAATTGTTGCATTGTTCGCGAACTGTGGATACATAGACGTTTATCCAGGAATCTTCCTGGGGGTTAAGGGCAGCCAGCACATAAGGCTGATAAACTAAAAGCCATCTATCAGCCAAATGTCTACGAAAATGTGGGACCCTTGATATCAAACAACCCCATGGGATGTGGAGGCCCACGTCCTGTTACAAAGATAGCTTTACTTTCTTACTGTCATTCAAAAATATTTTAAGAATGGCACATTTTTTCAAGAATTTGTTGCTGGTATCTATCATGGCCACAAAAGGGCTGTTTTGCTGCTGATAAAGATGATCATGGTTTTGCCCTGCATTCTGATGCAAGAAAAAAAACAATAAAAAATCGTGATTTTAGTCCACAGGTGATCTATACCAACCGAGCAACCGCCACTTGTCGGAGAAGTTTAGTGCCAACTTTTGAGGATTGAGGTGTTGCATAGTCAGCGCAACGAATCCCCACGGCCCTTAATTTCTGTTTTATAGACCGGAGCAGCTATTTCCTTGAAACAGCTCCTCAATTATCAACACGAGGCTGAGTGGACCCCGTTCCAGACCCACTACTTCTCAGAAAAAATCTGGTAGCACCAGGAATCGAATCCGGAGCTCTGGATCTGTAACCAGGAATGCTGACCACTAGACCACAGCGGCGGTCATTCTGATGCAAGTAAGGAACATATATTTAGATGAATCTCCAATTACTCACACTTCTACACTAACCTCCTTACTAGAATCCAATCAAACACCTGAATCTTTCTTTATAATATTAATATTTACACTTCTCATGTGGTACTTATGGATTTAACCAAATGCATACTTCAGTTCCTCATAGGAGCATATTATGAAATGCACTGTGTTGTATGTCTCAGATAAATTAAAACATGTTATTATTACTAATGCTGTTTTCTTGTTTACCTCCAGAAATCTGGCAAATGCAGGTTTTGCTTGGCATGTGGTCTTGATTGCTTCTTTTGCTGTCTTAAAGTTGTTGAGGAATAATGTGTATGTTTCAATTACAGCCTGTTTTGTAAACTGGAAATACAAAAAAAAAAGTGAATTAGTAGAAATATCTTCAAAACAGGATTAAATTCATCATCCTTCTTACTGCTAATCCTGTGTATGCTTCTTGCTTTAAAAGGATCCATCCTGAGATAACCCTAAAAGCATCAAATTTTTTGTGTATAAAGCCATTTTGGTGAAATATGATGAAGTCTGACTTAATCTACATGTAAAGTAAGAGCTACAGAGGATCAATATAGACCCAAATTCCAGAAGACAGCAATGTTCATACTAACCATTGTGAAAAACTCAAATATCACGCTAATAAGGTAAATTTTAATTATGTAAAAATGAATGTGAAGAACTCCTACTTACCACAGTAAAAGTGTGCCAAGATGACAAGTGAAGAAAAATTTCTTTCACATACTAAAATTTCTCAGTAAGAAAGTGAAGACAGTGTCCTCCTTCTCTCAGTATACTTGTCAAAATACTTTCTACTAATAAATAAAATTCACAGTTTCTCAACTATCCTAACATAATATTCCAAAATAAAGGTTCAGAAATAGCCATCATTGTATAAATTGCATCCTTTCACTTTAAATTTGATGCTTATTAACCTAAATATTTAACACATCAATAAAGCAAAAAACATTTTACTCACCACATCCAAAAAAACGTCTCCAACTTTCTGTTTGATGTCCCAGTGATCAAGCCTCTTCCGCAGCTCCTCAAGGAACACCTCATGATGCGCAAGAATTGCAGGGATCTGCAACAGGGAATTACAAACAGGAATTCTATGCAATACACATTGGCATGCCACATTTTAGGTTTCCCAAGGATCATAAATGGTAGGCACTAAAGAGGAAAATTATATCCTTTGAACAGTAATAATTTCCTTCTTCACTTGATCAGTGAATCCAGTCCACAATGTACTTCTTGAAGATCCATCATACTAATATAAATGGCAAAGCTAAAGTTCTCTCTGTATTATAGCGTTAAGCCATAAAGACGTACTGGAGAACTGAAGATACAGCTCTAGGTAATATTAAACTCAGCACTAAATGGAACTGAGTAGTCAGCTTCATGCTTCAGCTGCTCTGTCCCAGAGGAAGCTGTCCCAGTACTTATTGCACAGGAGACTATGCAGGCCCCAGAACAGTTGAATGAGCTGGATAAGAGAAAGATTCTTGCTGATGCCAAAAATCGAACCCCAATCAGCCAGCACGTAGCCAGACATGAATTCCTCATTAAGTCATGTTTTGGAGGAATGTATGGAAGGGGCAAATCATATTTCTGTTGTCCCAATATTTTACACGAACAGAGTATCAAAATGCTTGATATATGTCATACCCACCTCAAATTTCTTGCTTTAATCCCTTGAATAACATATGTGGAAAATAAAAATTACAAACATCTTCATTACATGCTATCTAAATTTCTCAGAATGAAATTTCCTTATTGAAGATACAGTAGACATTCCTCTAAATTAAGGACAAAGCTGTGATAAAATGGAACATGAACAAAATCCACTATGCCTTATAATTTATGTTACATAACCGTTCTTGTTTATAACCTTGAGCTTGCTCAGAAATACCAAGCATGCTTAGCCTGATTATATAAATGATATCAGGTTACCTGATAAAACATGGCATCAACCACTGATGCATCTACTAGGCCGGCATTTTCAGGGCTTTTCAAGGGCTGCAAATATTTCTGAAACACAAACAAAGGAATATACGTCCATCTGCTGCAGAAATTAACTCAGTAATTACAGAAGGCCGCATTATGATTTCCAAACGACATCTTCATGATTCTGCATTCCCCACTGGTTTCAATGTTCACGCAATCGGCAGTATATAAGACACTTCTGAGAGGCATGAGTTACGTTTCCTTTTATTTCATTAAATATCTGTAAGATGACAATGTTTTGGATAACATTTATAGATATCAGTATCTATGGCGGATGAACATAACTTTAGCGGATTGGGGGTGTCACGTGGTCAGCGCAACGAATCCCCACGGCAGTTAATTTCGGTTTTCCAGACCGGGGTCTCTATTTCCTTGAAATGGTTCCTCAATTATCCTCACGAGGCTGAGTGGACCCCCTTCCAGACCCACTAATCAGAAAATGTAGTAGCGCTGGGAATCGAACCCGGACCTTTGCACCAACTTCGGCGACAAGCGGTGGTCGCTCAGTCGGGTCGGTACAGTTCGCTTGCGGACTAAAACTACGGAGTTGTTTTTTTTTTCTTTTGATAGATGAACAAGCAGCAATGAGTATTCGGGCTTATGAAAGGTCCAGGAAAAGCGAAGGTAAAATTCTGCCTTAGACCTGTAATGAAATATTACTATCAATGTGAAACTGTTATAAATAAACTCTATCAAACATAATAAAACATAATTCTGAAAGACATATACATTTTTATTAAAATATTGCACTTGACAGGATAACAATATGCATTAGACAGTGCTGCTACCCAGAGGAAACGTTTACAGCAAACTGATTTTAAAAACAAACTTCATGAAAAACATTCATGACTTTTTTCTTGCACGGGTAACACAGAACCACTCTGGTCATTGTCCGGTTCACCGTTAAACAACACATATATTTTTCAGTCAAAATCTGACCAATTGTAACAGTCAATGGTTCAGTAATTCACCCCTCGGACACAAAATAAACATTTACAAACACTTTTTAAAACCAGTCTGTAACCTTTTAATCTCAAGATATGAAACAGTCAATTATTTTATATTTGATTTTATTCTTGGTTTATTTAACGATACTCTTAATTGCTAGGATTATACTGCGTCAGATGGTGTGAATAACAGATTTATTTCTGAAGGTGTTATCTAGTGGCGGCCGCGTATGCTCGATTATTAAAAATCTGTTGCCTATCAGCGAATGTTGTTTCGTTGTTTCGAGGTCGTTACCAAGTAACGGATCTATACGTACATTTAAAATAAAAGCATCAAAAGGTACTCGATTCGAGAAGGATTCGATACTGTAACCACCTACACACGACCCAAGCATGACAACCCATGAGATAAATTATATCATAGAACTACATTTGAATTGTAAACTTACACTACCTAAATACGTTCAGCAGAAACGATGTTAAGATTTGTAGGACTAGAAACATGTGCTACAAGTATATGAAAGTTGTGGCCTGGAATCCTAACTGTTTAATTAGAAGACGTAGTTGTTTCTGTGCAGAAGGCCAATTTAAGCTTCTCACAAAATCAAGAAACACGAACTGAAGCTCAGCAACACTCACATGTGTTTCATTTTCCATTCTGACACAACGTTTTCTGCAAACATTACGAAGCCCTGGAGAGTGGCTTTAAAAGGGACGCACGTATTGACGGCGTCTGACGTCACTGCCAGTACTTACAATCACAGAAACTGGAATATGCCAGATCCTCTGGAACTGACAGTGTTTGACATGTCGCAGTGTATCAAGTCTAGCTTGCATTCAAGATCCGGGTCCAGTCCCATAAACACTTTTCATATAGAACACTTTGCATCTTCACCACCCTTACGCAGGGGCAGCGTAGTTGGTTGAGGCACTACGCTACAAACCGGAAGGTTACGGGTTCGATTCCTTCCAGCCACATTACGGCCCTGGGGTCGACTCAGCCTCTAACAGAAATGAGTACCAGGTATCTTCCTGGGGCCTAAGGGAGGTAGGCGCGTAAGGCTGACAACCTTACCGCCATCTGTGAGCCGACTGTCTAGAAAATGTGGCAGCCTCGACGTCTCACAAATCTATAGGCCTCCACGGTCTGTTACAGGGATAGCTTTTGCTTTACGTACACCGGAATCGTCGTTTCTTCTGTACGCACTAATAAAGAGGACCGCGGGTGCCCACCAATCTGTCCGTCCACTGATTTATATATGCACATTACTACTGAGAACATCAACTGGCCGATTTTCATCAAGTAGAAGTGAACTGCACGCTGGTAGGGACACGTGGCAGCTTTCCTGGTCTTCCCAGTCCTGGGTACATGCCCAGCCTACCACAGCCTCTAAGATTTCATTTGTTTACTTAACGACGGCATCAGTAACTCCACCTCCACAATTTAAGCCGGAATGGCTCAGTCGGTATGGAGATGGGTTATGGACGGCCGAGGTTCGATTCCCGAGAGGGACAAGAAATTTTTCTCTTCTCCACAGTGTCCAGATCGACCCTGGGGCCCAGCCAGCCTATGTATTGGGTACAAGGAATTAATTCCCCCGAAGTACAGCAGCCGGAGCATGAAGCTTACCACTCACCTCCATTTTGTGCCGAGGTCAAGAATGGTGGAGCTATACCTCTACTCCCCAATATGTCTTCATAGTGTGGCATTTAATTAATTAAGAACAGGGACAACTTTAAGTGTACCTTACCACACCAATTGTCTAGATGGACTGAGGAACACCAAACAGTCATACGTAGATCTACGTAGAGATACGAACCCAAGACCTCCTGAATATGAAGGAGTCCTAACCGCCTGATGGCCTGTCCTAACGAGGATAAATAACACAGTTCCTCGTTATGGTAAAGGTAAGAACGGTAAAGTTGCCCCTGTGCTTAATTAATTAAGCACTACACCATGAAGACGTAAGGTGTAATGGAGGTACAGATCCACCATTCTGTGGTCACCTTCACGCCCCTGCCCCCGGTACCCACTAGCTACGGGGCTGAGTGTTCTTCATTACGTAATATCCTCAACTGCCCACTCACATGTCCTCCTTCGATATAAATATTTTACTGACAACTTCATGTAAGAAGTCCTGCTGCACCGCTGAGTGGCCGCCAGACAGGACGAGGAATACCGCCTTTCGTAATCATTGTCAGCGCCCGGCGTCGGGCGGGCAGAGGATGGCCATCCTCGACTCTGCGTGGTTAGACGAGCCTCACTACATAAATGTTTCTACCAACGGGCCCTAGTGAGATATGGGGAGCACAGGGACGCACTGGTGACACTTTGCTTTCTTTTCGGCCATGTTTACACTTTATTATTTCGGCTTTATATTTGTTTCGTTGTACTCCCGCCTTCCGCAGAGACCAAATTTCATTATCCAAAAAGTTAAATTAGTTAAAGCCCCTGTGCTCAATTAAGCACGACACGATGAAGATGTGTGGGGAAGTTAAGGTACAACTCCACTCGTTCTTAAGCTCGGCACTAGGTGGAGGCGAGTGGTCAGCTTCACGGGCCAGCCGCCATTTACCCCTAGGAAGATTCATGGTACTCATTTCTGTTAGAGGCTGATTTGACCGAGAGCCATAGTGCGGCTGGAAAAAAAAAATAGGTCAATTGAAAAATACAATCTCATCGGGAATCGAACCCGCGACCTTCAGGCTTGTAGCATAGTGCCTCAACCAAATATGCTACCGCTTACCCCTCAGTTAAAATAACTGGGAGTTACTGCACTTCTCATTTACAGTTTACACGTATTCTTGTTACGTGTGGCGCGGAGTGTTTTGGACGTCCCCCGCAGTGTTGTGGAGAGACAACTTATTTCGAGTTCACGGCACTGTCCTGACACCTCACGTTACGGCACAACAAACAGCTGCCAGCTGGCGTCTCAGTTGCCAATTTGGCTTCCTGAGAATTGCCAGCAGACGGGCGCTGCACGTTCCTGCGGCTCTATTTGCTGAAGAAGTGAACAACCGACCGAAGACACGAGGCACTGGCCAACGGGCCGAAGTATGGGAGTGTGCATTCCTCGCTAATCTTCGCACATAAAACTCTACAGTTGACATGAGATTATCATAAGCAGAGATATCGCAACATTACACCAGAAAATGTTCGTCTTTTCCTACTGATTGCGTTACATTTCACTCGCACGACGTTTCAGGAGATGGATCTATTCTTGCCCTCAAAATACGATTACTTACGCATTTATGAACTTGAACACATTTGTCTCTTACATCTCCTACAGTTTCTTGTGTCATAGAACACGTCGTGTCCGTATTCTTCAGAGTAAAGTTCCGCAACAGAAGCGCTCGAAGGGAAATTCACTTTAAATTATTACTTAATACTCAACCGTTTTCGGTCAATTTCCCTAATACTCTGGTAAGTAGCGATAACTGCTATATTTAGGCTGGAACATTCAATACTATGCGTTGGCTGGAAGAGATTACACTGTGTTTGGGTTTACTAACATAATCTTCAACATTGCCTACAGTTTGAACGAATTTTACCTTCAACACTATGCTTTGGTTCGGAGAAATTACTTACAACACTGTGTCCTGGGTGAAAGATATTACCCACAACACTGTGCCTTGGGTGCAAGAGATTACCTACAACACTATGCCTAGGGTGCAAGAGATTACCTACAACAATAAGCCTTGGGTGCAAGAGATTACCTACAACAATATGCCTTGGGTGCAAGAGATTATCTACAACAATATGCCTTGGGTGCAAGAGATTACCTACAACACTATGCCTTGGGAGTGCAAGAGATTACCTATAACAATATGCCTTGGGTGCAAGGATTACCTACAACACTATGCCTTGGGAGCAAGAGATTAACTACAACACAATGCCTTGGGTGCAAGAGATTACCTACAACACTATACCTTGGGTGCAAGAGATTACCTACAACACAATGCCTTGGGCGCAAGAGATTACCTTCAGCACTGTGTTTAGTCTTTATGTCACACACTGCAGATGAAAAGTTGCTGCCTGTCTGCGGAGGAGTTGAATTCACTTCGATCAAAAGTTACCGTTTCCAGAAGTGACGACCCCAGTAACCGAGAGGTTTAAGGTGTCCGCGATCATAAGCGAAACGAAAACCAGGGTCACGATTTCGAATCGTGTCCAAGATATTTGAATGCGTTCTTGTCACCGTCTATTGCTCTGCAAATCGCTATATCTCCAGTGCCGGGAGAAGTACCATGGAGATAAAAAGATTTCTATCTCTGGGATATAACCCGCATAGCAGACTCATTTCTGCCTGTTTCATGCTGATTCCTTCTTTGACTTAGTCTTCAAACCTGAATATGAGGCGAAATGTTCGAGACGTCGGTTGGCCTTCAACGGACCGCAAAGTGTTATATCCCAGAAGACAGAACTCTTCATAAAGAAAAACAATTTTCCATGGTGACCCTCAGGGAGCAATGTTACGTCAGATTCTCTACGAAACAAAAATAAATTGGGAACCGCTCCTCTAGAGCTTCGGTATAAGTTATTTAATTTTAACTTAAATTTCTTTTAACCTCAAGACCTAATTATTTACATATTTCCATCACAGGTGTACACATATCTGACATGTATTTGTAGGAAGAGCACGTCGTAAAATGTGTGTGTGTATTAAGTATACGTGTATGTATGTATACAAGACGGCCCAAAAGTCAGTTAAATGGTTAGTAAAATGTACACTAAAATACGTTAAAAATGTCTTTACTGCTTACTAAATTTACAAAAATTGTTCGAAATGAGAGCCTCTATGTTCAGTACACAACTCAAAACGCTGTATACCATTCTACAAACTGACCGTCAGGTTTAAATCTGAACATCCCCTTTGAGGTCACTGATTTTTCAGTTGACCTATCCTTCCAGCCGCACTGTGACCCTGGGGTCGACTCAGCCTCTAACAGAAATGAATACCAGGAATCTTCCTGGGGGGTAAAGGGCTGCCGCCGCGTAAGGCTGACATCACCGCCATCTGTGAGCCGATTTTGTAGAAAATGTGGGAGCCTCGACGTCTCACAACTCTATGGGTCTTCATGGCCTGTTACAGGGATAGCTTTGCCTTTACCTTTTACATTCGCTTTGACGAGAGAATTTTTTAGTTTAACTGATTCTGAGGACCGGGCAAGAGCGAAGTGTGTAGCGGAGAAGTAACTCGTATTCATGTGACACGAATACAATTGAAGTACAACACCGGCTGCTGTACAGCGGGCCCACAATACAGTGAGTCTAGAAATAGAACAAATTTGTAACGCTAAAGTAATGGTTCCAAGTTTAATTTCACAACGGTACCCTTTCATATGGGGAACCGCGACAGCGCAGTCGGTATGGCGACTGGCTATGGGCTGGACAAATGAGAGGTCGAAGTTCGAGTCCCGGTAGGGTCAAGAATTTTCTCTTCTCCACGTCGTCCAGACCGTCTCTGGGGCCCACCCAGCATCCTATCCAATGGGCACAGGGGGCTCTTTCCCACGGAGTAAAGCAGCCGTTGCGTGAAGCTGACAACTCACCTCTAACCATTGCCGAGGTCGAGAAAATGTGGATCTATTCATCCACTTCCCTATACGCCTCCATGGCGTAGTGCTTAATTAGTTAAGCACAGGGACAACTTGACCTTTACCCTTTCATATTCGGAAAACGTTTATGGAATCTCTAATACAATTCCTATATATGAACTATATCACAAATAAGCATGGATAATAATAAATAAATGTTAAACAAGGACATGAGAGCGTATTATTTAATTTCACATATTCGGAAACAAAGATATTTCATATACAAGAACAATAAAGCTTACAAACTAATATGCAACATACCCGAAATTTATCTTTTATTTTTATTCTGCAACAGAATTTTCTTGCGGAACTCTTATTTTTACCTCACGAATGCCCGGCGTTCCGCGAACCACCATTTGGGTAACACTGATCTAGAGACGTGATCGACATTTTTTATTTAAAAGCTGTTTTGTGATCAAGTACCATGCCGTGAAGGCACTGAGAGGGCATGGTAGCAAAACTCCATGTATATCAGCGTCAGATCGAGGCGCGGCGTTAACCTCAGTCTCTGGCCGATATTCAGAGGAGCCTGAACAGGCTCTAAAGCCAGTTTGGGAGTCACAGAGATGGTGGGGGGGGGGTCGTGTGTTGAAGCCTGAAACCGAAGATAAGACCTGGCCACTTTACTGCCCTAATCCGAATTTTCTTGTAACAGAGCTTGCGCAGCAATTCAGTTACATCAAATTTCAACGTCAAGATGGCGTCACCACGCCGTGCAGTGCACTCACCATCACTAGGATCTGCAGCGACTCGACGTAAGAACGCTCTGTGTCGTATATCTCCACGACGACGTGCGTCCGTGTGTCCTGTAACAGAAACAGATACATGTACCATGAACAGAGCATTCTATGACGCATGCGCGTGACACCGCATTCAATTGCAGTACAGTAAACCCTCGCTAATCCGGTTCCAGTTAATCCGCATGCCTGGTAAACCGGATCTAAATATGAAAAATTAAAAATTCTGTTCCCACACATGTGGGGTTTAGGAGCAAGAGGGATGAGAACAAAAGGACTTTCAGACTGTGTTGAGGGCGGCTGGAGAGACTGAAACCGCGCAAGAAAATATCGAAGATTGGCTTCAGCTGGATGAAAAACAATACGGATTTCAGCTTCTGACAGAGGAAGAAGTTGCTGGTGATGTTATTACGGACGAAGGATGTGATAACGAACTGGCTGGACTACAGAACCTATACCATTTATCTGTTTTCTAACTTTCTTTTTTCCTTTTAGGGCTATCTTTTGCTTCATTAATCCAGATAACCTCCCCGAAATTAACCTGGATTAGCGAGAGTTTACTGTGCTATGGTGAACGTGAGGTTCTGAGAGCGGTATTCTGAGTTGTAATGCAGTGTAGCACGAAGAATGATTAGCGATTTGGAGGAATGTAATGCTTCCATCTTCAGGATGGAAAAGTAAGCAAAGTTAATAACGAACGAGAAAAATGCGGCAAGCTTCTGCTGGTTTCTTGCTTAGCTTAGATAGAGGTGATATATCCCTCCGAAACGTCCGGCTGTCTCGAGCAACACAGAAGACAGTACTCTTCATAATTATATATTGTTATGCAAAATTCCATTGAAATATTATTAAAGATTTTAGACTATCATGACAGTTCGCTTTTAATGTTCATTATGATTGTTTGCACCATATGGATGTGGTTAATACTGCCAACGTTTCGGAGGTATATGCTGCCTCCATCTTCAGGGAGAGAATAAGCTTAATGTTCGTGTATAGAGTTCGGTCCAACAGACCCATGAGAGTGAACAATACACAGGGAATGTTATCAACACGGACACTCGTCCCCTCCCCCCAATTCACTTCGATCCCAGATATCAAGGTGGAATGTGCTCGCATCCACACGGTGCAAAGACCCAGAGCACAACCGACAAACGAACCTATTTTAAAATGGGGGCCCTAATATGGCCCTACGAGAAGATATTACACAATATGAATATTATACGCAATTCTGTTGTTTGGTGAATGGAACCGCCAAGACGCACTTCTGTACTCAGCGTAGACATATTAAAGGTTCCGAAGTGTAGGTTTTGAAGACACGTCGCCATAAACGTATCAGGGATGTAGTCATCATCACTTAACATAAAAGCTAGAAATAAAGTTGTCCCTGTGCTCAATTTAGCACCACGATGTGAAGACATGGGGGTATGATGGTACAACTCCACCATTCTTAACCTCGGAACTAAACGGATGTGTGTTCAGCTTCACGCCCCTGCCGATTTACCTCCTTGGGAAAGATCCCCCCGGCGCCCAGTGTACAGGAGGCTGTGTGGGCCCCGGAGTTGGTATCAACGCTACTGAGAATAGAAATTTCTCTTACTCCTACCGGGAACTGAAACCTAAATCCTCGCCAGTCATTCTCATAGCCCGTCGCTATACATAATTAGCTGTGGCGTAACAGAAGTTCGCGCTGCGGCCATGTTCTATTTTCCTTGAAAATCTGAATAAGAGCTCACTGCTTTCCAATATTATATGGCCATTTCAGTGATGGTGAATTTCACCAACCTCAGAAGTTCGCACAGAATGACCATGTCTAATCGAGGGAGCTGATGGCCACATGCGAGTTCCTAAAAGGGTTCCACGGAAAAAACAGTTAATTATGTCGTTATTGTCTGTTCATTTCTTCGCATTTCTTCGATTCAGATAGGTTTCCTTTACAGAGTTGTTACTAGTTACAGATAAATTATATTGAAAGTAAAACTCACCGAGCCTTACTTGTAAGGGCTGAATTCACTAATAACAACATTTAACACACAAAGTTTCTGTATTCGTTCCCGTCATACTGATTTTTATAATGCATTTTGACATATATTTTGACACCACTTGCCTTCCAATTCTGAATTGAGTATTTTTAAACAAACAGAGAGCCTGGATAGCTCAGTCGGTATAGCGACTGGCTACGGGCTTCACGGCCAAGGAGTCGGAGTTCAAGTCCTGGTATGGGCAAGATTTTTCTCCTCTCCACGTCGATAAGACCGGTTCTGGGGGCCAGTCAGCCTCCTATCGAATGGGAACGAAGGTTATTTTCCGCAGGAGAAAAGTGGTCGGAGCGTGAAGCTGACCACTCACCTCAAACAGCCAAGGCCAAGAATACATGGAGCTATACATCACTCCTCCATAAGTCTTCATGGCGTAAGTACTTAATTAGTTAAGCACAGGGACAACTTTAGTAACAACAAACAACACATTTATGAGCCAAATAAATCAGAACACAGGCCGCATACACTATAACAGCATAAATAGGTCTATTTACTGGGTTTCCTTTCTGCTCTCTCTTGCTTGTTTCGTTTTACTGTTTGCTTCCGTTCTTCTACGAAAAATATGCGCAAAAATTAGCAGCGCCATCGCTAGAAGCGCTGTAACTTCGCAGTTTCTTGTTGTCGACTGTCGAAAAGTAAACAGAACCGGTCGCCATGGCGACGGTGACGCACCTGCCACTTGTTGCTCCGCTCTATTAAAAATCGCGACACGTGGCGGAGACAAGAAGCGACGCCGATACGTGGATTTACTGGTGCTCTGCTCTCGACGAACGTCATATGTTCGTCTACAACCACACGAAAGGCATCGATTAAATTTAGCCTCGAGAATCTATACTAAAAATTGCGCGACGAAGTTTCATTTCGGTCCATATCGGTCAGCGGTAACCTCTATTTTCATGGCGCTCAAACTGAACACATCAAATCTCTCAAAACAGATCATTGTATAAAAAGACTGAGCTAAATTCTTCTTGAGAACCCTCCAGTCGTTCAGCTACTCAAGAATTTCCCAAAATTTTACAGAACCCGAAGGTTCATTATCATATTCACAAGAACCCTCCACTAGTCCCTATCCTGGGCCAGATCAAGAAGGCCATACCATTCCATCTCATCTAGGATCCATTTTAATATTATCCTGAGTCCGGATAGCTGATGACCCAGCCGAGATTCATACCCAACACCTCCCGAATGCAAGTACAGACCAGCCTGGTCGGTTTGCTGCCTTCAGTTCTCGCACGAACCTGTGCTCCCAGCCTCCATTTTCCAAACGCCGATCTTCCGTAAGAGGCTCAATGCGTTAACCTCTGTTGCTACGTATGTTATGTCTTTCGCATGTTCCTCCTTCTTCAATTGTCCAGTACGGTCACACCACACCTTCTTCTTCTGTTCCTGTTGCTCTCGCTTGAAGCTCGTGAACGTGAAGTGAAACGCTCGTTTCACTTCACGTTCTTAATCTCGGACTGTCCGTCGCAAGGCCGCTACCTGTTGTAAACACGGAATAAACGCTAACAGATATCCATGCCTTGGGTGGGATTTGAACCCACAATCCCAGTGTTCGAGCGAGCGAAGACAGTTCATGCCTCAGACCGCGTGGCTGCAGTGCCATAGCTCAGAAGGTTAGTCTGCGGCTTCCCACCGCGGCGGTCAAGGTGGTGGACAAAATGGCTCTGAGACAGGTTTTCTCCGAGTACTTCGGTTCCCCCTGCCAATTCTCATTCCTTCGACTGATCCACATTTATCTATCACCCGGGTCTGGTAAAATAGGCCAGTAGTGGCCGCAGTACCAAGTGGACTCAGTCTCAACCAATGAGAAAAAAATAATATATCGCGCGGCCACTGTGATCGGTACTAGGTACACCACGTACGGTAAAACTGAAACAAATCTGTATTTTCAGTGCGACTGATGGTTGAATGGAGCTGATCTCCCTTCCGAAACATCTTGCAGCAGACGGTGCAGTTACCAGCCTCTGCGCAACCAAGGCCATATCCAGAGTTATGGCCGACGAGCTGCAGACCCCAAGCACAAACGACCTTAAATCACCACTCGTGGATTAGGTAAACGCTATAGTGACAGTTATAAGGAAAAGTCAGAGGAAATATCCTGTGTTCCCCACGTGCTTCATTCAATTATCCTGGTATCGACCCCCTCTGCGAGGCTCAATGTGATGGCATTACAGAAGTAACCGTTTCAGATTACGCAACAGAACCGCCTTATCTCACTTCACAGCAGGATTCTCTGAGAGGGAAAGTGAGAATACAATCAACCCTTAATTTATACTCTTCACAGAATATTATCATTACGAATAGTAATCAAGGAGAGTGTCATGGGTGGAATTTGTGAGACTCACAGCACAAATGAGAAACGAACACAAATCTTTGGTCGAAAAAAGAGGAGGGGAGGGGAGAAGAGAAATTTTGGCAATCTGAGCACAGATGGCAGGATAATAGTAACATATGCTTTAAAACACCTCGTGTGGAGGCGGCTTAGAATACCTCCACGGCAGCCCTGCGAGTCGTAGAAGGATACGTAAAAGGAACCCGGTGCCTGGGGGTATAACTGGGCCAACCTGTCACTGCGGGACATAAGTACAGAGGCCTGGTCCTCAAGGTTGGGGGTTGGACACAAGACTGGCTATCTTGCTCCGTAAAAAAAAATACTGCTGCGAAATCCAAAGAGCCAACACCGGACGCAATCTGACAAGTTTCTGTCAGATTGCATCCTGTTTTGGCTCTTTGGAAGGCTACGGCTCAAAAAGGGATGTTTTGCCGACGCTGTCGAACTGGCTCAGGAAAGAGACCACTGACCGGATCCTGTGAACAAGGTAAAGAACCTCTGGGTTCTATAAAAGGCGTGGAATTTCTTGAGCAGCCAACCGACTGTAGAGTTGGTGCAAGAAGCCAGTTCCCACTTGTCGCGCATGCAGCACAGTGCTCTGCTGTCCACTAGCTCGGGAATTACGACCATGCAACACGACATATTTATACTTTTTACCTTCCTGTCAGCAATGGATTTCTATCTGCATTACATGACGTTAA